ACGACCGGTTGGGGGTCGCGGCATTAAAAAGATTGAGAACCACTGGGTTAGATTGAGTTGGGCTCAGATTTGCAGAGTAAACTTCCATGAATGAAGGTAGATCTGCACCAGAAGATCACAGTTCATTGAACAAACAATAGCATCTTGGTTCACTTAAGACATAGACCATGGTTTATACAATATCTAGTTTTCACATCACAGTCAAAACCACATGGCTAAGCTCAATGCAAGCTCAGCCTATGTATTAAGTTTGCCACATCAGGAGTATCTGCTATGACTTCCCTGACCCCCCCTTTTTTTGCAACATATACAAACAATGCACCCCTTGTGGATCTGATGTCTGCCCAACAACCCTTACAGATAACATACTTTATCCTGTCTGCTTATCTTGCCTTTGGGGCTTTCAATCAAGACCCCTCCTCACTGAAACCTACATTCCCCAGGGGCTTCCAACACCAACACCCACACACACATACACACACAGGTCTCCCAGTAGTGTCTGGCTAAGCTTTTGGAGAGCCACTTGGAGTGCTAAAGTCACTTCAAAGCACTCTTGTTGCTGCCTTGAAAGAGTTCATCTTCTTGCCCCTGGGCAAGGCTAGACCTTGTGATTGGCCTCCAGCCTGTGGAAGGAATCTGGGGCTTGGACCGTGGATTGTTCTTCACCCCTGCATGTATGGTGGCTATTTCTAAGGAGCATAAGCTTCCAGGAATGGTGGTCTGCTCAACTTTCCAAATTTCGAATCCTCCCAAGTGTGAAGATTTCGACGTTCACAATCTCCAGCTCATCTCAGGTCATGAGGCATTCTGGAGGAAACACCCTAAATGGAGAACGTAGGTTAATTGCTTCAAGAGGCAATTGGAGCAGAATAAATCTTAGGTTGCTGGAACTGGATATGGCTAGTTTAGAGAAAAAAAGAACTAGGGGTGACTTGATAGCAATATATCCAATATTTGAGGGGCTGCCACAAAGAGGAAGGGGTCAAATTATTTTCCAAAGCACCAGAAGGCAAGACAAGAAACAATGGATGGAAGCTAATCAAGGAGAGAAGCAACGTAGAATTAAGGAGAAACTTGCTAACAGCGAGAACAATCAGTGGAACGACCTGCCTCCAGAAGTTGTGGATGCTCTAATACTGGAAGTTTTAAAGAAGAGACTGGACAGCCATTTGTCTGGAGTGGTATATAGGGTCTCCTGCTTGAGCAGACGGTTGGACTAGAAGACCTCCAAGGTCCCTTCCAGCTCTGTTCTGATTGATTGAAGAACCAAAGTGTATATGCTAGTCATAATGCTATTTGATTGAAGAATCAAAGTGTGTATGCTAGCCATAATGCTATTTGTGACAGGAACAAGATTGAATTGAATTGAATCGAGCTGAATCAAATTGGATACTTTATTTGGCCAAGTGTAATTAGACACACAAGATATTTGTCTCCTGTACAGAAGCACTCGGTACTTATTTTTAATACCAATAAAAGGGGGGAGAAAAGAAGATAATAAGGATAAATAATAATATCACAACCATACTTCACGGGTTAATATGCCTAGACATTAGACAGCATTGTGAGAATTAGGGGGTTCAACAGAGTGACGGTGCTGTTTTGGCCTGCAGTGCTTTATAGCTGTGTCCTGAGGGAAGGAGTCGAATTACTTTATGTCCCAGGATGGGAGGGGGTCTGCAGATATCCTTCTGACCCCACCCAATATACAAGTCTTCTATGGAAGGCCCGTCTGGTTGCAGTTGTTCTTTTTGCAGCCTTAACTATCCCTTGGAGTCTGTACTTGATAGTTAAGAAGAATGTGAGCTTGAGGGGACAAAAAAAAGAAGAAAAAACCTGGCAGATTTCTTCTGGAGAAGATACGATTAGCTCTGATGGGCAATTAAGTAGGCTCCAGGCTAGAAAGATTGGCTGCTTACTATTTTTAGAAGCAACACAAAAGGAAAAAAGCTTGTTGGTTGGATTCCTTTTCTTATCATAAATCTGAAGAAACCCAGGATTGTCTGCTGAAGATTATCTGCTGTGACTGCTCAAAAGAGAGTGAGAAAGACAGAGATTAGACATGATGAAAAGTGATAGGTGAGCTTGAACTCCCGCCTTGCAGCAAGAATTTTTTTAATAAATCACTACAGCAGGGAGAAGTTCAGGTATGGAGAGGCACCAAGATCTGTTGATGTGATCCTTGGAGGTGATTGATTTCTAGTGATTCAAAGGAATCCATCGGAATATTTGTTTTTATTGTGGGCACAATGGCACACATTAAAAATGAAATTCTGTTGCTTGCTCTCAAAAGTGTACATATAACACACATATAAACATGCTATATACAACATATGTATATATATCTTGCTGTTGTTGTTAATTGCAAAGTCATGTCCGACCCATCGCGACCCCATGGACAACGTTCCTCCAGGCCTTCCTGTCCTCTACCATCTTCTGGAGTCCATTTAAGTTCACGTCTACTGCTTCAGTGACTACATCCAGCCACCTCATTCTCTGTCGTCCCCTTCTTCTGTTGCCCTCAATCTTTCCCAGCATTAGGCCCTTCTCCAGTGAATCCTTCCTTCTCATTAGGTGGCCAAAGTACTTGAGTTTCAACTTCAGGATCTGGCCTTCTAAAGAGCAGTCCAGGGTTGATCTCCTCTATGACTGACTGGTTTGATCGCCTTGCAGTCCAGGGGACTCGCAGGAGTCTTCTCCAGCACCATAGTTCAAAGGCCTCAATTCTTTGTCGCTCAGCCTTTCTTATGGTCCAACTTTCACATCCATACATTGCAACTGGGAAAACCATGGCCTTGACTATACGCACCTACACCCTTACATATACAGTAGTGGCCAAAATTGTGGAAACCTTTTGGGGAAAATGTATTTTTGAGGTTTGATGGCTAATTACACCACTTTTGTTTTGGAGTAGTACCATAAAATTATATATCAATGGAAAGATAATTTAATCAAGTATGTAATGCAACAAAGCTTGTTCAATTATCTGTACTGTATTCTATGAAAAGTTATAGCCAAATAACCAGAAAAAGGAAGCACAACTTGTTTAGGTTGATATCAGGTAGCTTTCCTTCATCTGATTGTAGCCAATGAGCATGAGTGTTTAGAGAGCCAATCAGGTGTCATCTTGTTTTGGCAATGAGCCAATCAGATCACAGTAGGATTCAGTGATTGATGTCATGTATTGAAGCTGAGAGGAGGACATTTGTCTGTGTGTTATGTGATCCCTATCCAGTTGGTTGGGGTTTTTTTTGTGTTCTTTCATTTAGTGAGCTTGTAAAATGTAATAAAACTAAAGTAATGGTGCAAAGAGTTGACTGGTTGCCCAGAAAGCGATGTAAAATAGTATTATTAAGTGAACAAGGTTACAGTTATAAAGAAATTAGAAGAAAAATTGGTGGAAACTTCACCAAAGGTGGCATTTCTACTGTACACTTTCCCCAAAAGGTTTCCACAATATTGGCCACTACTGTAAATACATATAAATATTAATCACTGTTAATATTTATATGTCTTTATATGCAAGGATGCAGGTATATACATGTCTTGTGTATAGCATGTTTATATGTGTGTTATGTATGTGTACACTTTTGAGAGCAGGCAACAGAATTTCATTTTTAATGTGTGCCAGCCTGCCCACAGTAAAAAAAAAAAAAAAATGACAGTAAAGGTTATCTGATCTTCTTCTGATTTACAAACTGCCCATATTCTTTCCAAGTCTCTTTCAACACCAGCTCATCAACTGATTACTGTATGAGAATTAAAACCACTACCCTCCCTCAAGTCTTGACTTTGGTGGTCTTATCCTGATTAGTATAAAATTAAAATCTCACTTTCCCAGTGATTATTTATTTGCTTAATGGTTAGCTATCCCTCCCCTCTTCCTCCAGATTTCTCCCTGGAACAACAGCGGGCTGATGTAGGTAAGCAATAGTGACTGGTTCAAAATCACTCAGTGAGCTTCTATGTAGGAGAGTGGAATTAAACCTACCTCCCCTCCCCCTTTTTTTACAGTTTTAAAAATAAGTAAATATAGGTAGTCCTTGACTTACAACAGTTCATATAGTGACTATTCAAAGTTACAGTGGCAATGAAAAAGGTGACCTATGACCGTTTTTCACACAACCATTGCAGCGTCCCCGTGGACATATGATCAAAATTCAGAGGCTTGGCAACTGACTCGTACCTATGGCAGTTGCAGTGTCCCAAGGTCACTCGATCACTTTTTGTGATCTTCTGGCAAGCAAAGTCAGTGGGGAAGCCATGTTACTAACTTAACAACTGCAGTGATTCACTTAAAACTCACTTAACTAATGTTTCATTTAAGCAACAGGAATTTTGGACTCAATTGCGGTCGTAAGTCAAGGACAACCTATATACAGTATATTCCAGATGAGGTGGTAGGAGCAAAAAGTTAAAAATTGCTCACATAAATTCCAGATGAGAGAGTAGTCACCAAAAGTTGTTCTAAAGGTGCTTTTTTTTGTTTCCCCCCCAAAAGGCAACTGGACTTTTGGGGGTTTTTTTTCGTTGAAAAACATTTTGCATCCAAAAAGCATCTTCTCAGTTCTTCAGCTCTTTGCTTAGTTGAGAAGCAAAATGTTTTCAAAGAAAAACAACAACAACAAGACAATCCAGTTGCCTTTGGGGAAAAAAAGCAACTTTGGGACAACCATGACATAGATCAGGGATAGGCAACCTTGGCCCTTTTATGACTGGTGGACTTCAACTCCCAGAATTCCTGAGCCAGCATGGCTCAGCTTAGAAACCTCTCCCTTTCCCCTCAGCATGGCTGGCTCAGGAATTCTGGGAGTTGGAGTTCACGAGTCTTAAAAGAGCCAAGGTTGCCTACCCCTGACATAGATGATTGAGAATCAATCTCCATAGACATTTAGCCAAAAGTTGTAACTTTTCTGAAAAATGAGCATGTCTTATTGCTGTCTTGAAATGCACACCTATCAATCAAGATGCTTTTTTTTCTTTCTTTTATTTTTCCTTAGGAAACAACCACTACAGAGGAGCTGGAACAGTTTGCTAAGGAACTGAAACACAAAAGAATTACCTTGGGCTTCACTCAGGCAGATGTGGGACTGGCCCTGGGTTTACTCTATGGTAAGCGGTTGATTTTTAAGCTTGTAAAAATTTAAAAGAAATGAAACTGTTTTTGAAGGTGGCACTTGAATAGTCCTGGCTCAGAATAATAGAACTTATATAGCACAAAAGAGTTGGAGAGGGGCCACCTGAGCTAAAGAGATGTGTTACATTGAATTGAATTAATCTTGATCTGTTGATAAGATTGACCCATTAGTCCTGAACAGTAGTTCCAAAGTGGGAATCATCTCTCCTTTAATGCATTGTTATCTAACAAGGGATGCTCCTTTTAGAGCTTTTTATTTTAAAAGGTGTAACTGGCACCTAATTTGCACTTTTTTAAAAAAAAAGTGTTTTGGTTTATCAATTAAATCTTGTTGTAGCATTTCCAGAGACATTTCTCACTGTCTACTCTTGTAGGATTTTTTTCTGTGACCTGGAATCCATTCCTTCCTTCCTTC